TTCTGCCCTGAAAGCAGAAAAGCACAGGGATTTAGTCTCTAGGGAGAGACAGACCCATGAGTTTCATCCGACAGGACATTTTCTAAGACTTTTGACTCCCAAACTTCGCAAAAAACCATAAAACTCAAAAACCACACTTCTGGCCCAAAAAACAAAAAAGCACAAGGAGCTTGGTCTCGAGGGAAGTAAGGATTAAGGCCTCAGGCAACAAGATGTTTTCGCCAGAAGTTTCTGGTTGTCGATGTTTCATTATACAGAAACTTGTTTGAAATTCGTGGCCATTCTACTCTGCAAAATCCATACTTCTACCCCTAAAAGCAAAACAGCACAGATAGCTTGGTTTCGAGGAAGAGAGACTCATAAGCTCAGCCAGCAAGATATTTTCGCTGAAAAGTTCTGGGTGTCAATGTGTATTCTACAGAAACTTGTTTAAAATTCACTTGTGGCCATTCCACTCTGCAACAACCAGACTTCTGCCTCTGAAAACAAGAGTGGTCTCGAGGAAAAGACAGACCGGGAGACGGTCAAAAGGCGCGATTTTTCTGGCTGTCACCAACTTAAAACTTCAGTTTCTCGCTATGGGAGTGTTCAAAAAGTGTTGGACAAAGTCCATCGGCTTACTAGCTGTTTGAAGTAACCATTTGATAAGTTCGACGACTTTTGCTAGAAAACTGACCGAAATAGTTACACAATTGCTATAAACTGCATTTTCCTGGGTTTTTGACCTTCAACAATTTTGTTTTAAATCGCTTTCAAAATGATAAGATCGAAGAATTCCTGCAATTCTCTAATGTACTTCTTTTGAAATTTCAAATAATCCTGGAACTTCATAAAACACAAGTATGTGCTATATACTGCCCATCTGGTAATAAGAATCGCGCCTCTTGACATACATCCAAACAGACCCATGAGCTTCTTGCGACAGGAAATCATCTTTGCTGAAAATTCTGGCCTTCTGAACTTTGCAAAAACCACACTTTTGTCCCTAGAAGCAAAAAACAGGGAGCTTGGTCTCGAGGGAAGAAAAGACTCAGGGCTCGGGCAGCAAGATGATTGCGCTAAAAGTTTTTGGGTGTCAATTTTTGATGATACAGAAACTTGCTGGAAAAATTACCCTTCTTTTCAACCATACTTCTGCTAAAAGCGGAAGCATAAGGAGCTTGGTTTTGAGGGAAGGAAAGAACTAGGGTTTTATACGACAGGACAGTTTCGGTAAGATTGTCCTTCAAAAGAAGGCGCTGGGCCAGCTTCTGTTCAAGAAATGAGCCCGTTCACTGGCAAGACATCATCAAAGAAAATGCTGCTTCGTTTTTACCGACATATCTGAGTTTTTGGCTGCTGGAAGACATAAATTGACGCTTCCTTTAACATGGCACTTTCCTGGAAATCAATGTGAGTTTTGGGATGAATCAGCTGCTCTAAACAGGTGCTTCGAGGTATCTTCCTTGTTTAAGAGCTGTGGTATCTGGGCAAAGGTATGTGCAAGAAAACAGCGAAGATGCTTTGCGCATAGTCAGTGGTAGTAGCTTCTTTTCCTAAGAGCATAGTGTTTTGTTTCTACTACTCACAACATGCGAAAGGTCGCTGGGAAGATGAAAATTCTCTTTCTTGGGATTTTAGTTAATTAATGGCAGATATCAATGTATCTGCCCCCACCCACCTACTAGCGACCCGTAGGGTCGCTAGTCTTATATATAAAGCTGAATGTCTGTTTGTCTGTCTGTCTGTATGTCTGTCTGTATGTCTGTCTGTCTGTGTGTACGTATGTTCCGAATAGAAAATTCCATTTCTGAACCGATCCGGACCAAACTTGGCACACATACACTACGGGCCCCGGCGGGTGTCATAGGCTACTTTTCGTCATCGATCGATATCGATTTTATCGATTTTTATCGATTTTTTTGCTGAGTTCACCTACGGGGCTGGGAGTTTGCACAGGGGGGTAATCGAGCATGGGGATTCCGAATACAATATTGGTTTTCAGGATTATCGATTACTTTTATCGATTTTATCGATTTTTTTGACACCCGCCGGGGCCCGAAGTGTATGTGTGCCAAGTTTGGTCCCGATCGGTTCAGAAATGGAATTTTCTATTCGGAACATACGTACACACAGACAGACAGACATACAGACATACAGACAGACAGACAAACAGACATTCAGCTTCCGAATACAATATTGGTTTTCGGGATTATCGATTACTTTTATCGATTTTATCGATTTTTTTGCAAAGTTTGAGCTAGGGGGCTGGGAGTTGGCACAGGGGGGTAATCGAGCATGGGGATTCCGAATACAATATTGGTTTTCAGGATTATCGATTACTTTTATCGATTTTATCGATTTTTTTGCAAAGTTTGAGCTAGGGGGCTGGGAGTTGGCACAGGGGGGTAATCCAGCATGCTGATCATCCCCAAGGGGGGTGATCAGCATGCTCGAACACCCCTGTGCCAAATTCCAGCCCCCTAGCTCAAATTTTCAAAAAATCGATAAAATCGATAAAAGTAATGGACGATCTTGAAAACTAATATTGTATTCGTAATCTGCATGCTCGATTACCCTCTGTGCAAACTCCCAGCCCCGCAGGTCAAACTTTGCAAAAAAATCGATAAAATCGATAAAAGTAATGGACGATCCTGAAAACTAATATTGTATTCGGAATCCCCATGCTCACTTCCCCCCTGTGCCAACTCCTAGCCCTGTAGGTGAACTCTGCCAAAAAATCGATAAAATCAATAAAAGCAATCGATAATTCTGAAAACTAATATTGTATTCGGAATCCCCATGCTCACTTCCCCCCTGTGCCAACTCCTAGTCCAGTAGGTGAACTCTGCCAAAAAATCGATAAAAATCGGTAAAATCGACATCGATCGATAACGAAAAGTGGACTGTGACACCCGCCGGGGCCCGAAGTGTATGTGTGCCGAGTTTGGTCCGGATACGGCGGAGCCGGGTAAGCCAGCTAGTAAGATATAGGCGTGCGGGCCACCGTCAGTCAGCATGGCATTAGCTATGTGCGCAGGTCGCCAGCTCACACCTGTGGGCCGTTACTGGGCCTGGTAAAGTTGAGATATAGGTGCCGCGCGAAGCTCAGTGACTGCGCCGCTGCAACAGTTGTTTGAGTAAGTACGTACGGCTGAGATATACAAACCAAATCCCCCTACCGTTTTGGGACGGCTTGCATCGAGTTTCCTGCTAATGGTGGGGAGCCGCCGCCTTCTTCTGGTGGCCCCTTGCAAAACGGTGCAAGCCGATGCAAGTCGTTCGCTGGATAATGGGGGGGGGGGACAAGTGCCTAGAGTCCAGCAGGCTCTTGAGGCTGTCTTTAGCAAATTATACAGAAATATGGTCGAATACTAGCAAATGCCATCAAATCAGTCAAAAAGCACCTATCTCCACAATACTTCCCCCAATTCTGGATACCTGTTTTTTGAACTATTCACAGAGCTAGTGGAGGGAGAATTTTGCCTCTAAACCACTGCATCTTCACCATCCGTACAAAGCAAGAAAAAAGGCTTTAGCCTACAGAAGTGACTGTTGGAAACAGCAGTGCTTAAACTCTGATTTGACTCTGAACGCAGTGTCCCGGCGCACTCAATTATTAACCTTTTCGCTTACCTGGACTTACCGGTGACGCCGAATCCAATGGCCGTGAGCATCAACGAACCCAGAGGGCTTCGCAAAATAACGCGAAACAAGATTGATATACATAAAAAGCTCTGCTGGGTTCAATGACCCGCCTTCGTAAATACCGGTCTCGTTGGTTAAAAGCAGCGTCCCGGCAACTTGGTACTGGGATTTCTCAGCGTTGTAATAGTAGACCTCCAACTAATCAGTGAAGTCTGCAGCAAAAAAGCGCGTCCAGAAAGCCTGAATTCCACTCCGGAAGTCTTCCGAACCCTACTTACTCGTTCCGGACCCCGCTCAACGCATATTTTAGCTAATGTGGATATGAAGAGCTCTAAAGGAGCTCATTTTTGCCATTTTCATAGGCTGAAAAGCCAGATATGAGTTTCATGGCGAAAAGGCTCCAAAGAGGTGAAACTGAAATGCCGGGCACTGCCTTTGAGCTTACCCACCGGGTTGCGTAAACCGGTGGGTCTGTCGACCAATACGGTCACAATTCTCAACTTTTGAGTGCGCGAACAAGGCAGGGACAGGTTTTTCCAAATGTCCTTCATTCCGAAAATGGACCACCTACCTTTGACACTAAACCAAGCGATCTATCTTGAAAAGCAAACGTCATAAACAGGCTGTTTCAGTAGTCCTCGATATTGATAACGAGACGAGTGAAGAAGTTCCCGCCAATGCTGGGACCAAAGTCGGTGTGAGACCCTGCGATGTCAGCCGTGAGGGAATTTGTACTTTAATTACACAGTTGGGTTTAACGCTGAGTAGGCGAAACATTTCGCGCGCAATAACACCTCCGCATCGCTGATTACTTTGCGAGCGCACAACGCTGGCATTTTGTTAAGCAGAGACTAGGGAGAATGAAGAGATGCAGACATGGGTTCTTAGCACGGTATGTACTGTAGCTGCGAAACGGCTGCGAGGCGGGTAGCAATCCAATCCCCTCCCAATCGTGGTTGGAACTTACCGCTGGCAGCTGCATGAAGAAGGCGGAATATCTTTAGGCGCGAACGCGGCTATATTAACCGCAGAGCGCAGGATGTACAAAAGTGAAGATACGCGCGAGCGGTCAACTGATATTGCATCTGCGCCTTCGTCCTGCAAGAGCCTTATGTGTTGTTTCAAACTATATGATACCCAAGATATGTGTCATTCTCGGATTCAGCGATTCAGCCCTAAGTCTGCGTTCATACTGATCCTAAGTTCCGCAATAATTCCAGCACAACGCTTGAATTGTGCGCTGTCCTGGAACTGTTCCGGAACTTACGGATCAATATGAATTCAGCCTAAGGTATTTTGTATTGTGAATGCTCGTCAACTAAAGAAACTTGATCCGCTGTGTAACCTATGTCTCCACGGAATCTTGAGCGTACCACAGCTTCCTGAAGCAGCAGCGCAATGACGTGTCCATTTTTGGGGACGTGCACTCTCCCGTCACGCAAGTAATTCAAAATGTATCCAAACATTTTGGGATCGCGATCGATAAAGATCTCCTCAGTCTGCAACTCAAACTATACATGGGCATCACTATAGAAAGTACTGACTCACTGAATAGTCCAGGCATAACTTCTCATCGTTTGCGCCTGGACAGCTCATAAGCGTCTCCAATGACGTATGGAATCTCTTGCCACCAACATTCACGACCACCATGGCTCACACACTTAAGCACAAGTGATTACGCAATTATTTAACACTGAAGTGAACATATGAAATAACTGTATTGAGCGATTGCCGATCACTGAACGTGCACATCAGAGCAACGTGAATGCGTGCAAACTGAAGATGTAAACCACAATTTCCACTGCAGGACCAGCACCCACTGTGGCACGCAGCCAAGTTCCGTGCAAACTGTATATTTTGAACTACATTTACTTCAGGACCCGCAGCCATAGTGGCGCATAGCCAATTTCGCCGTTGAGAAGCTGTTTCAAATATTTCGAGAAGACTGCGACTTTATAGTATGCCATGCACGGTATTCCAACAGCATATAGAGGAAAGCTTATTATTTAATGAAGTTTTGTTCTTGTCAAGGATACACGTACAATGAACAAAACGCTTCAGTGTTGAATATTGATGGACTTTTGTGGACTTCTGACCAGAAGTTTGCTCGAGAGAACACTTCTCGCAAACTACAACAAGCAGGGGCGAGCGCTCATCTTTCTGGGCATTCCCGTAGACCCCCATTTTTGTCCTCATACTGATTACTCGATTTTTTAGCGTTATCAGTTATGTTTTGATTTCGGGAGAGGAAGGATTATTTTTGTGGCAATTGTCGACTCTAAGGCCTAAGGCATACCTTGCGCGATTCGGCTAAATCGCAACGTTCACGCGACCTGGCATTTTGCCAGATATCCTTAACCCATTGACGACGACGCCTAATTTTGCGCGGCGGCGCTGTGGGACGACGTGATTTTGCACAACACTTTCAATGTGGGAAGGCTTCGTGCTTATTTACGGAATGCAACATTGTTTTGTAAACAACTATTAACATTTTCTTGAACGACAGAGATTATAGGTCCTAAGAATACAAAAAATTGGAAAAAATGTTCATATGTGGAAAAAATACTAGACCTGCAAATAATACGACTTTGCGAGAGGTGTGGGCCACCGGGGGTCCACATCGTCCCTGGCAGCAAGAAGCGCGTAGGCCACCGGTGGTCCACATCGTCGTCAATGGGTTAAATTTATCGTGCACGGTCCTTCAACACATGGACGCGTAGCTTCTGTAACTTGCTGCAAACCGATCAAGTCCTGCCCTAAGAAAGCGCTTTGACGACCACTTATGAACAGTCGTCGGTACCAAGTCGCGCAGCGACAGGAATCGCGTGAGGTATGCCTTAGGCCTAAGTCGTGCTCTCGCGACAATTCAGCCGCGCGTGGTCCGCAGGGCTTGAGTAGTCCGTGCGGCCAACCAATCGACGATATGATTCGGGCTTGGCTCTTATTTGGCTCAAAATCAAATTTCGAATGTTGCAAAAAATTATTCGCATGTAATAAGAGAACCTGAATGAATAAGCAAATGTTATGACTCTCGTAGTGTGAAATACCTGCAATGACAAAGTTCATTTAATGTCATAAATGCTTGGATTTTCATGGCCCATCAACATGGTATCTAACTACGACCTCTTAGCTCATCCGTAATTCTTTCGTGATCATCTCAAGTTTTCCGTTCTCCCCACCACAGCACGCCTGATATCACGTAATACACTAGCAGCAAACACTATTGCTAGGATGAACTTTCACCGACAGCGGTTTTTGAAAACTTTGGGGTAGTCACGAATCCGAAAAGATCGGGAGTGGGTAAAAAGGAGGGAGAAAACTCGGACCTCAAACAGTCTAAAGACTTACAATGTGCCTCGGTCCTAAAATGCAAACTCCATTCTTTGACTATTTTGTGGGGTTAAGGTGTGTTACTGTATACTTTGGACCGAATTGAATGTCAACTATTCGAATAGATCACTCAAATGCGAGATTCGAAAATTCCAGTATTCGAAAATCTAAAGTTTCTATTATTCGATAGTCGAGTATTCAAAAACTTTCATTTCCGAGTATTATTCGACAGTCGAATAATCGAAAATTTCTATTTTCGAATGATATTTGATGGTCGGATATTCGAAAATTCCGAAAATATCCGACCATTATGTATCGATTATTCGAAGTCGAATAAACGAAAATTTCTATTCGCGAATAATATTCGATGGTCGGATAGTCGTATCTTTCGAATTTCGACTATTATTGGATAGTCGAATATCCGAAAAAATTTCAATTTTCTGAAGTTTAGTGTACGGTAGGGGCTCAAATCCACTGATCTGGGATGAGTCTGCTTCATGAAGTTTATCCGACGTTTACTGAAATTGGGTGCTTTTCGCATAAAGTAATCTCGTGGAATTAGCCTTCAACCTCGCAACGTGGCTATACGATGCGTATCATTTTTGTGATCAACAGGCTCGATACCCTCCCCTTCCCCCCTCCCCTAAGCGAATCTAACGCCAAACAACCTCATTAACAAAATTTTTCTTGCCTCTCCCCCCCCCCCCGGACAAAAATCCTGGGACCAGCACCGGTGGGTAACCCAAGCAACCCAGCGCTTAACCCACAAGACTGCTAATCATGGACGTGGGTTAGAGAACTCAGCTCTGCATGTACAACAAGGAGATTGAATGTTGATCATAGTCAGTGGGTTCCAGAACCCACGGAACGTGAACCCCGGGGCTGCGAAACCCGCTGGGTTTGTTGACGAGTACTCCACAGGCTTGTAGAGAGCTAGCGCAAGATCGCGTACAAGATCGATAGACGGTCCACTCAATTGCACGTAAGATATTTTTGAATATTGATGTCAAAGGTTCACACCTGTCTACCGCGCCTTACAGTCTGCCCCAATCCTAATCGACCAAAATTGGCATGGCGGGAGTCCGCATCGCTAGGGTTTCGCGGTCACGCCCACGGCCTGCTTGTCTGCTCTCTCCTCGATCTCCTCGTCCTCTCCGCCAGCGCGCATATGCAGTGCAAACGCTTATCGCTGCGAGCGTGCAAATCCACGCCGACGGTTCGGCCTGGTCCCAGTTGGGGCAGACCGTATTGACTACTTAGTGGGTGGTCCCTACGTGCCATAAAAGGTGGAAAGTTGCAAGTGAGCATTCTAGCGTATGTCTTCATCAGAGACGGTGAAGAGTTTGTTTGAAAAAGCACTTCGCAATCCTCCTCCGGACGACTTCGACCTGAACATGCAAGAACGTAATGAAGATCATCCAAAGAGATCCACGGAGAAGAAACGACGTAGAGGTCGCAAGCTAGTCAAGCCAGTCACTCCACCACCGGCTGTGAGAGAAGCGCCTGATTATGAGGGACCAGAGTGGAGCAGTGGCGTACCCAGGATTTCGGCTCGGGAGGGGGGCGCGACAAAAATTTTTTTCTAAAGAAGGTGCGTAGCGTTAGCCGCACTCCGAAAAAATTTTGGGGGTGCTTCTCAAAACTTTTGCGGGTCCCCGACCCCTAGAATCTGGAAAAAGGGGGCGTGGCGTGAGCCACGCCCCCGAAAAATTTTTTTTTACAATGCTAATTTGAATTTTTAAAAATTTTAAAAATTATTTCAATTATTTACAAAAATAAACAAGTCACTTGCACATTTTTTTAACCCATATGAGTAACTTTCAAAAATTTCGCGACCAATTCTCGGGGGGGGGGGGCGCGTCCCCCCCCCCTCTCGGTACGCCACTGGAGTGGAGTATTGTCGAGGATAAAGCTTTGCTTGACGTGGGTGATTTATCTGATTTGCTTTCCTAGTTACTTCCACTTCTTATAGGCTGTGAGAAATGAGGAAGCCATGGGCCACACTTTCGAGAAAACCAAAGGATCGCTTCGATACAATTGGGAATACATTTCCGCATTTGTAAATCGAGCTATAAAATTTTACAGGTAAAGCTTCAAATGAATTTTTCTACAACATCTCAAATGATTAAGCTCTCAAGGGGTACTCTGCAAGGAAAAAACCACCTTCTTCGTATGTTTACCAATGTTCATAACTTTCTTCAAATATCAGGTCACCGAGGCAATGTTCGCTTCGTAACCAACTTGTTGTGAGACCTCGTGAAACCGGACAGACGATGGTTGTCGACCCCTTGACGAAAAAACCCAGAAAAGCTGAAATGACACCAGCTGAAGTCGGTAAGTTGGCTTCGCTCAATTCATCACGCTGACTCCGTTGTGATATTGCTAGCATTAGTACCTAGCAAAGAATAGTGCTAATACTTGTGTTGTGCCCGATAATAGTCCTTTGCTTTATTATAGCTCACCAGTGCGAAGGCCGAGTTTCCACAGATCTCCAGTACGCATACGATGCTGATCGATTACGTGAAGCATTTTATACTGGACGTTTACAGCTGATAGAAAGTTTAGCTGCTAAGCAAAATGAGTTCATGGAGAACAGAAGAACTATTGGTGGGTCTCGATGATTTCTACGTCATTCTATAGGTACTCTTTTACAGATCCCAAATGGCTTGAACCAAGCGGTCGCTTGCCAGCGGCGCAAGAAAGTCGCCTTTCTGCGCTAGGTGTACGATATGATTTGACTGTGTGTCCTAGCGATATTATTAAAAATCTGGTTGGTTCAAAGGATTCAATATCAAATATATAGCAGATAGTGGAGATCCGAGAAATTTTTTTTTGATAGGAGGCGGAAGCGGGGGGGGGGGAGTTTTCAGTGTGAGCGAGAAAGCCTTGGAATGCTCTCCGGAATTGCGGGCCCATAACCCCGGACTTCTGAACACAAAAATTTTTTCAAAAATCTTTTGGGTCATTAAAAATCTCAAAAATTGTCCCAGTTATTTACCAGTTGAAATAATTCTCTTGCACAATTTTATAACTCGTATGGTTTACTTTCGAAATTTTCGCAACGCATTCTGCATGCCTCTCCCTCCCCCCCCCCGCTCCGCCTCCTTGGGCCCCGGACAGAGTTCACGCGCATTGCCTCCCAATTCTTTAACGAGACAACTGTTACGAGTTATTGCATGCCGATCCTCCTGCATTTCGGTTATGGTAGTTTTCCGACACAACTAATCGTGACTAATTACAGGGCTCCTAAATTGCAGAGTCGTTTGCACCAGCGGTCGCGCAACCGCGTCGCGCCCGGGCATTTTGCCGGCGCCGGCGCCATCGATCGAGGCGGCGCCATTGATGCCCGGGCGCGGTTCGCGCGACCGCTGGTGCAAACGACTCTGCAATTTAGGAGCCCTGTATCACAACCGCAATGCAAAGAGATCGGAATGCAACGAACTCGTAACAATTGTCTTGTTGAAGAATCGCGAGGTGAGAAGTCGCGTGAACTCTGCCCCAGGCCTTAGTCCACCACTGATAGGATGAGAATAAGAGGAAGGAGAGGATGTGTAATGTAGACGTTCCATATTTTATAATATAATTTTTTAGCGATTATACTCCGCATTGAGTTGCATGGATGTTTTTGTGAAATTCATCGTTCATAATCATATTCTCTCTTTCAGGAAGAGAAGAGGTTGACACAAGAAGCTGCTAAGAAAAAGCTAACTAAGCAGCAAACCAGTAATGAGATATCAGTAAGTTAGCATTCATGAAGCATATCTCAGATAATCTACAGGGCTTTTCAACATAAGAGTCACAGCCTCCGCTTGCGCGGCTCCTCCAACGCGGCCGCCTCGCTCAGGCCGCGCGCGGCGTTTGCTGCATATTGCCCGGATTTCGCCAAGCTTCAGTCGACGCGCAGCCTCGTGCCACGAACGCTGCGCGGACCTAAGCGTGGCGGCCGAGCGGGGCGGCTGTGACACTCAGGTTGTAAAGCCCTGTAATATGCAGCTCACCTTCACATCCGGTCTCAGTTTGTGTACGTCCACCAGCTGTACCAGCAGGACCTGATTTGATTAAGTCTAGTCTACCCAAAAAGATAGCTCTTCCACCCCTTGCGGTTGTTCTTTCACTAATATAGGTGGAGATGTAGCAACTCCCAGCATTTTGAACACGCAAGTGGCCAGCTGTTTAGGCGTGGCTTTTGCGTAGTTGATTCGTTGACCGCACGGACCTGACATCATTGCTGAGCACGCGCCGCTAGGTGTAAAACGCTGTCCCAGTACAGATTCGCCATTGTACATGTCGTGCTCTCTCAACAATTCAGCCGCACCGCGCGTGGTCGGCAGCGTTTGAGTGCGGTCAACGAATCGACGATACATGCGCAAACGCAAAACCTCGGCATGCAGTCACACCATATAAAGCAGAAATCTGCTAGACTATAAATGTTAACAGATAGTTGATTACATTAACTTCAGGCTATTCCGCCTCAGCCTCACTTTCCCGAAGGGATTCATCGTGCTGCATCATATGCGCAAGCTGGTGAACCATTAGCAGGAATGCAACATGTCCAGGCAGGAGCACTAACATCCAGCACGACTTTGTTGTTGGCCAAAATTCATTTCAGCCAACTTCGCGCATGCAGGTAAACTCATGCTCTTGCTTTACGCACCTCCATATTCTAATCGTTTTGTTTTGAAGTATGCCCCTGGTCAAGCCGCCCACTGGTCCTTTCGCATATGCTACTACATATCGCGTGAAGAGCAGTAGTACGCGACTGCGTCTAAAGGGCCGGGCATACATCACGCGATCTCATGCCTCGCGATTCTCGCAACAAGACAACTGTTACGAGTTCATAGTATGCTGATCAATTTGCATTGGTTGGGATAGCTAGTCGCGATGAGCTGTGTCGGGAAGCTATCAGAAATAGTCTGCCTGAAACGAACTCGTGGCAGTTGTCTTGTTGAATTGCGAGGCGATGAAATCCGTGATGTATGCCTAGCCCGCCCCTGGCCATACTTCACGCGATTTGGCAATACTCCACTTGTCCGTAATTGGTCGTAAGCGCATTCTGAATGTACAGCATTTCATCAAATCACAAAAGCTACACACAAGCATCTGTAGCCTGCAAGTGGTGTAATTTAGGACATCTGACAAGCTGCCAGATCTCGTGATTCAAAGGCAGCGTCCAGACAAGTCTGGAAACATGGGGATCTCATGTGGATAGTAATTTTGGAGCCATAACTAAGCCACTGCCCAACTGGCAGCTCAGGTACTGCTCTAACGGCTGAGATATTCCTCGAAACTGGACCCCGCTATCGTATTTTGCATGGATTCATGGCGCAAAGTGTGTATCCTGGCGCGAAGCTGCCATGAATCCATGCGAATACGATCGCGGGTCCAGTTTCGAGGGGAATATCTCAGCCGCTAGGGCACTACCTGCGCTGCCGCTTGAGCAGTGCTCTAGTTAGGGCCCCAAAAGTACTTTCCACGTAAAATCCCCATAGGTCCAGATCTGCCTGGACGCTGCCTTTAATCGCGTGAAGTATGCCCGAGGCCTAATGGCGGAATTAATTCCGGTACCCGCTCTATGTTCTGAGTAAGCTACCTGATCTCATAGCATCCTCGTTGCCATTTACGAGACCATGGTAATTTTTTCTATGTGAAGTATCAACTCTTTCAGCCATCCTCTCTCCGGTTAATTCTACATCATGATCCACGGGACGTTGGACTGCCCTACTCTGTGAACCACCAGCAAATTCGTGTTGGCCCCATGCAGACATCACCGCCACAACAATCTATGGGACAGAATTTCCCAGTAAGTTGATATACACTGCATGTCATTTTCAGTATTTGTCAGCATTCGCAATACAACTGCGTATTCAGATGACAACAAAAATGCTACCCACCAGAATAGCCGAGAGTCGACAGCCGCACCAAATTCATGCAAGGCCGTTAGTTCTTTTGGTACCTTTCTTTGCCGCGGATAGAGGACATTAGGCCGCCAATAGGCTCACCCAGATGCACCGATAGCAGGCGGCAGTCAAGTGGACGCGCGGTCTGCTGCAATGTCAGCATAGGACCTAATGTCCTCTACGAGACTCTCATACTCCGTCGAGAAAAGCTCAAAAACCCCAAAAGCGCTCAAAAAGCTCGAAAAGCCTGAAAAAGCCTGAAAGTGCCAGAAAGAGCCGGAACGCAGAAGCGAGCTTTTGGTAGGAGTCTGACATTATTTTGATGTGCAGACGACAGAAAATGAACCAGTAGACTCGGTTGCAAAATCAACACACATGCCTTAGCGCCAAGACTTGCGCGCGGAAGGGAACGTCCCGGCTCTTTCTGACGCTTTTGGGCTTTTTTGGGCGCTTTTGGGTTTTTTTTTTCGCCAAAGTATGACGGGTCCCTACCTCTTTACTGCTGATGGGAACTGCGTCAGTTACGGTTTACCTTTCAGACAAGGATTCACTCCTCAAGATAGCCAAATAATGAATGCTGGCATTGCACCTATTAACGTACCAGCGTCAACTTCACCGCATTCGCTTCCATACAGTCGAGTGGGCAACTTGGCGGAGCCACATTTGTGACGTCTGGAGTTCCCAGAGTACGTCATTCACCGTTTTCAGAAGATAAGTTACTATTTCAACATTATATCAGCTGTGCGTTCCATACCTTGTCGCTGTTCTTTTGATGAGTCGTCACATTCCTCCTTTTCGCGTTTGCGTTTGGTTTGGGTCCCAACGTTTTTTCGCTTGGGGATCGGCCACGGGTTCGACAACTGTTGCCTGCATTTCGGTGCCGTGTTGCCGGTAGACGAATCTTGATGTGTCAGGGAACGGGCAACGGTTGCCGAGGTTATTAATGAGCGCATAACAGACGGAGAATACTATAAGGTCCTACAACGACTGGCAACCTCGGCAACCGTTGCCGGCAACCTCGGCAACCGTTGCCGGCAACCGGGTAGGGGATCGAAGGCCGGCAGTTTGAGCCGCCTTTCGCGGCCAACTGATCCATTTGCAGTGTTGTTGCATGCCGTTCCAGGACCGCGGAGACGGCCCAAACTCGCTGATATCGTTCCCCGATCCCCGGCAATCTATGCCCGTTCCTTCAAGGTTACCGAAGTCCCGGTGTTGACGGGGTTGCCGGCGTTACTGGATTCGCAGGTGCCGTTTGCCCACATGCTCATCAACGCCTTCTCTCATGTTCTTTGCGATTTTTTCCACTGGCGACCCGTCAACACTGATAACGCCGCCACCTCCAGCAACCTTGACAACCTTAGCAACAACAGCCCGGCAGCCTCGGCAACAGTAGTCAGCATCCTATGCTCGGTCCCATATTTACTACCGCTTCGCGTGTTTCTCGCGCCTTTGCGCCGCCTTTAGCTACTTTTTGAACGCTCTTGAACCGACGCGTCAGATGCAACAAATGTACTGCGTCTCTGTGGTATTTACCTTTGGGGAGAGTCTAAAAAAAGACTACTAAAACCTCATTCATAGTCGATTCGTTGACCGAACGGACTGGACATCACTGCGGAGCACGCGCTACGAGGTAAAACGCTTGCCCCAGTACAGTTTTGCCATTGTACTGTGCCGCGCGTGGTCCGCAGCATTTGAGTAGTCCATGCGGTCAACGAATTGACGATACAGACAAAGTCAATTACGTACTCCCTTTCGCATGGGATCTACACATGCGCAATGCAAGGGCCCTCGTGCGGACTTCCAGTCGATGAGACCAATCTGAATGCCCAAGTCATATGTGCGCGAATATGGCGCGAAGCTCATTGCGCACTGAAAAGGGAGTACATGATTGGCACGGACTGTACTTTAGATTGGTTCCTCTATCGCGAGTCGTCAATGAGAATCATGAGCTTTCTTTTCAGCTGCTGGTGTAAGTCCAAAACGGCAGCATTTGTCTCAAATTCCTCCCTTAGGACCTGGTTCGGAAAACAGCCCTCAGACTACAGCAAGTCGCAACGGCTCAACCGCCACCGCTGCAGACTCAGCCTGTACAGCAACAACAGCAACAGCAGCTACAAGAACAGCTGCCGGCTGAAGAACGACACCCTTTAGCTGCTGCGCTTTCTTCTATCACACTTTTTGAATAGCCAGAATTTACCTTTGTTATTGATAGCTATTTTGTGTAATATACATTATCGCATTCATATTCTCAATAAGAACTCGATGATTTCAGCAGCAGCAGCAGCAACACAACAGCTGCCTACTGAAGAACCCTTCACTGCTGAGCTTTCTTCTATTACGTGTTTTGATTAGCCAGCATTTACAGGGCTCCTAAATTGCAGAGTCGTTTGCACCGGCGGTCGCGCGATCGCTGGTGCAAACGACTTTGCAATTTAGGAGCCCTGTACCTTATTGTTTTTGATATATGTTTTTGTGTAATATCATTACGCGCGCTGTCTGAGCTAACTCTGACCCGGCAACTACGGTAACCTCGCCAAACTCGGACATAGTTGCCCTATGGCCGTTCCCTAACTCCACAGTGCTGAGCATGTTTCTGACAAGGTATGCGGGCCCGAAAATCTCGTAGTCGTAATTTTTCACACTGATCACGAATAGCGTCGTCTTTAAACAAGACCTCGTTATTCGGTGTGGTTACGGTGGATATCGGTGATTGGTCAAAATCAATTTGCTGAAATTGTATTGACCTACACGTAACGCAAATACCACACTTTATCCTTTGTAGCTATTAGGCAACATCGTAAAAAATTGCTTGCACCCTTCATTCAGGCATTGCTGCCATTTCGTCATTTAGGCATTACTGGCTTGAGGACATGTAGGTTGGACATAAGCTGACGCATACACAATCTTTATTGCCTCTTGAGAAACATAGAAGGCTTTTTTATAGATAATATAGATACAATCTAGATAAATTTTAAATATTTGTAAAATCCCAAATCTACAACATCCGGATAAAGTAAATGTCATACAATGTTGCGTTATTTTAACAACGAAAGACGTTTATGAACAGACAAAAATGATCAGAAATTGCAGCGTTCCAAGGAGAATTTTCAGCAGATTTTGTCCTGTCCAGCGGAGTCGCGTGCTAGCCGTATGGGTAGAAATCCAACTTCTCCTTTGTTGTCTCCGAGATTTTCTGCCACCACTCTCAACTAAAATTATCTCATACACTGAAGAAAAACGGAAGGCGGCGAGAGTGGATTGTTTCTTGACGTCAGTTATCTAAAGCTAGATTTAGAAATGGAATCTAAACAATCTCGAAAAGTGGTCTACTGAAAATTGGAGCCAAACCTGAGTGTCTTTCAATACCTACCTACACAGTTGCTGCTTACCAGTGGCGGCCGCAGAATTTCCCTCCGGGAAGGGGGGAGGAGCGCGGGGAAAAATTCTTTAAATGAAGGTACGTGGCGTAACCATGCACCCCGAGAAATTGTTTTGGGGTGCTTCTCAAGATTTTTGCGGATGCCCAAAAAATTTTCTTACAAGGTTAATTTGAATTTTTAAAAAATTTTCAGAAATTATCTCAACTATACACAAGAATGACTTTTATAGTTGTTGTAATTTCCTATGCTCAGAAACTGAGGAGCAAAGCTAGATTAAAAACACGAAAACATTGCTTTTGGCGATTCTTTTATGAATCAGATATTCCTAAGGATCAGCGGTTGTAGTAGGCTAAATATTAGGCTGACTTCTAAAAGATTATAGTATAGAATTACTTATGTAAAATCCTCCACTGCTTTGGCAAGCATGCCAATCTTCGTTTTTCTTTTCGATTTTAGCTATGGAGAAATACGGGATTGTTTTTGTGATTACCTGGGACGGTATCTATCAGCCTTCCAATGTCGCGAGCTGTTCTGCCGAAAATAAATGAGCGCCCGATTCGGCGACGGGCGCTCGTTTATAACGGATAGCTCCAGATCAAAAATCGGAAGACTGGTAATACGGCTCTGATGCAAGATGATATGTGCGAGCAGGGAAGATACATAGGTTGTTTTGGAGATGCGATTTTTGGCTTTAAAAGATGACTCAAGATTTTGGCTTCTAAACATTTGGATCAAACTTTCTGCAAATAACGACGCTATCTGTTGGAGCTTGTTTTGCTCTCTAGTGGTGTCCCCAATATGGTTTTCGCAAAGCGGTAAAAATCTCGAATTTGTTTACACAATAATCCTTATGTATTTTTCAAACTAATCTAATGCAGTCATTTCCTAATCTACCCTATATTCAGCATGCGTGAATATCTCGAAACACGGACCAGCAATAAATGAACTCAAGCGCAAATTTTAAATCATTATCATGCAGGCGCTGAACTTTGGCCATTTAGTCTCCACTTTTGTAATTTCCTGTGCTTTCAAAGCGAATAAGTTAGATACCTCATAACGTCCTTGTGGTAGCTTAGCACAACGCGTATTCCATTTCTTGTTGTCCTAGAAAAGGACCTTCATTGGCCTTTACACTAAAGAAATCAACAAGATTTGCTGAAGAAATTACGGCTATTGATTCTCCTAATTCGACGGACACTTTCTTGTAAAAACAATCCATGTCTTCAGTGCATACGGATAGCGATAGTCCTTGTGTAGCAAAGTATTCGTAGAAGCAAAAGAAGACAGGTTCTGCTGCTGGAGTAGCGATGACGTCAGATACAAGAACGTATTTTCTTATGTTGCGATCCAGAAAGGGGGCGACCAGAAATTTTTGAGCTAAAAAGATCTAGGTCAATTATGCCGATAAAAGTACTTTTTGCGGACATACCAGTTTCAGGTGGACCTCGAACTCCAGTAAGGGGATTAGCTGGCCGACCCTGTGTCCCGATTTCCCATCGATGGTCGCCAGATGATCGCCAAAACTTGCAGCTGAGATCTAATGTTATGCAGTTTAGAAAATGCTTCATACGCTGTATACATTTCGACTAATTATTCCATCTTATTGGTATACAAGCCGCGCCATCACTACCCTCAAAGGCGCACAAATTCGAGCGCGTGCAAAGCGGTCACAATTTTGACAGGCAAAGACCCCATGGTAATGTTTGCTACGCGAGCTCATTGGCGTGTTTGATTCCGTTCTTTGCTCGTGCCAACACCATTTCGGTGCCGCTCCAGTGTCGTGCTAACGCCATACCGGAGCGTCAATCGATATGGCGTTGTCTCAGTGGAAGCGGGGTACGACTTATACATGTATTAAAAAAGTAACTGTTTTTTCCAAAGGCTTGCACGGATACAAAATTACCGAAACTTTTTCATAAAGGAGTTGACTACCTGATGGATCACACGCCAACGCTAAGCACGTCTCGTAAAGGCTATTTTCCGCACTGCTAGGAAAAGGTGGCGATGGTGGAAGGCCAACAGGTCCCTCCACTGGCTCCAGCAACGGATTTTCCACTAAGTTATCGATATCTTTTCCATCCGGGAAATCCACCGTGCTTGATGATTTCTTTGGCTGTTTGTTTATTTCAATCGGGCTTCCAACGATTGCCTCCAAAGTAGACAAGTCGTCTATGATCTGAAATAAAGACACTATGCCCGTCAGGTCTATATCAAGTCAAGAAATCAGAAACAGGATATGTGAGAAATTGAACTTTTTGTGTATATAGAACTAGTCAATAAAGCAGCCCGACGCTGCTCGTGTGCCCGATGCGTGGCAGCGCCGTTCCAGCCCCATGCAATGCCGTGCGTGTGCCGTGCCGGGACCCGCTGGATGCGCCTTATTGATCGATTGGTCATTGGTAACAGCGTCCACACGGCACTGGAACGGCCCGACAGAAGCAACTCTGCACACGCCAAGGATGAGAAAATAAATTGTGTTGCTAATTCTCTTTTTTTACAGCGAAGGTTTCAAGAAAAAGTAAACCAGTAGAATAATGAAATCACTGTAATGAATCCTCTCGGCACCTTTTTTAGCCTGTGCAACGTTGTGCGCACATTTGGTTGCTCATATTCATCAATACTAAAACATTCTCCCTTATGTTCTGTACTTCACTTCAATTCTTAGCTCAACATCTAGATCAGAACAACCTTTAGCGGTTTGGAAATCTCCTGCGACTTCTCGGCACGTGCCTGTTCCGGCAGCAATGCTTCTTCTGTATCACGTCCTTGATACAATACTGGGTAATTCTCTCTACTCATTCCATTGCATTCTAAATTTCCTTGTAGCAGAATATCCTGTAGAAATATAGCACCACCCATTGGTGAAACGAAATTGTTGCCGTAAAAGACAATCTAGAATTGATGTTCCGTAGAAGTTTTGAGCACTACATTTATCGCCGGGTTAACCTGAGTTGGCTGGTTAGGATGAGTTGGTGTAGGAACATTCATAGTCACAGGCACTCCATTGTTGATGTTGAATTCGTCGCAGTTCAGTAGCGGCGTCATCGCTTCGTTGACATTTTTGGCACAGATCTTAAAAATCAGATAAACTTACAATGCTGAAAGGACATGATTGAGGTTTGCCTGGAGTTTTGGTAGTTCGCTCGGAGACGCCGACAGGGTTCTCCAAGCAGTAGCTGTGACTTGTATTCCTGGTGATAAACAGGGCAATGAGTCGGAAATTAGTTGGCCACCTTCCCATCCAGATCTAGCGTTTGAAACAAGAGCGCCTGCGGCCGAATCTGGAGTGGACAAGATCAATGGGATGCTAAAGGGAATTCACTCTCAGTTTGAGTTTTAGAAGAGAGACATCTGTCGCTGCCACTTCAATTCTGAGTTAGCTAGAATGCGTTCATACTATTGTCGCGTGCCGGCAAGGAACAACCGCGTCGCGAGCAGTGCGCGGTGACGGCTCACTGCGAGGGCTACTGCGAGCGCACGGAGAACTAAGGATGCAGCCTCAAGACCTTACGGCACTATGCAAAATCGGTTTTGATTCTAGAACAAAGAATTTCTTGGACTACTCTGTAAAATGCTGCTGTACGCAATATCACCACCAAAACTGTATAGTCCATTTATAAAATCGTGACGACGGAAACATTGTGGATTTTGAGCCCACAAAAGCATGAAACACGCATAGAGAAGGAATCACCTCCACATTCAGCTCAGTCACTTCCAGTGTCTAAATATTGTCATACGTAACCAAAAAACCAGCCGACCAGAGATGAAAACCAAGAATAGCGATTTCCGCGAGTAGCGTACGTGTAGCGCGCCGTCACGCCATCGCCACAATTTTTTAAATGCCCTATAGAATGACTCATCTTCACGATTTGAAATACACATGTTCAGGATTTTCTACGTAAATTTCAGTAAAATTATGGTTATAAATAGGAGTAACTCGGCGTGCTTTTATCACCCAGAAATTGAAGTGTAGGAGAGATAAAAAATAGATTTTGTGATTTGCAGTCTTCAAAAATATTTCGGTTTTTGACAATTCTAGGCAAATTCACAAAAGCGCTCTCACTCACAAAAGACATAGGTCTAAAGTGAGTGAACAAATGGAGAAACTGGAGTTTTACAAAATGCATTAGAAAAGTATATACCCAGAAATTACTGCGAATTAACATGATCGCTTCATTATAACATTGTCCCTGATGTAAAGTTTCTTTTTACGTATTCGCAGAATCCCCTCATCTACACAACTATATGTCCTTGATATGCACCGAATACGTTTAGCCTCAATGTTCTTGTTACCCATGCATAATCTGTAGCCCATTAGTTGGTTTATTTTACAATTTTGTGGTTGGCGAAAGAAAAAAAATCTCGCATCTAATCAGGCTAGCTTTTCTGAAACTTGTAGTCCTCTGATGCTTTTTGGGATTGGTGCAGCTGATGTTTCAATTGAAAATAGATCATATGTAACTGATGTATTCGCCAACATCAAGGAACAGAGGGGAATTGAGGAAAATGAATACACTTTTCTATGAAGGCTTTCAAAATGAGCTAAATATGTGATCATAAAATCTTCCTAGAAAATAGTTATGCATAAGCTCAGCTTGATAAATGAAATCTTGCTCTATTTCTATACTGTGTCCCTGTGAAGTATGACAGAAACTATTAGAAAACGAGGGCGATGAGTCTCACCTGGATAATTTTCAACTCCAAGAGCAGACAAATATTTATCAGGTTCTGGCAACGCCTGCAACGTAGTCCAATCCAGCTCTTCATCGTTCGTATTTGCCCATTTACAGTTTTCAGCAAATGTTGGGCAGTTGAGCGATGAAATAGTTTGGATCTAGATTATAGGTGTGAAAGAAACGAATAATTAGTATTTGAATAACCGCCAAACTTGGTCGCGCTGCAGTTGCCGTGCTCCAGTGTGATGATCGTGTGAATGCGACGTATGGTGGTGATGCTCTTCTGAACGGTACGGACCAAGTCGTGGAGCATATGGAGCGTAGCCAGCACCTATTGGTTTTTTGATATTTCATTAATAGCCTAAGCACTACCTCTACGAAACTTGAGTAAAAAAAAGTTTCCAAACCAAAATAAAATTCGGCGAGCAAACCATAAGTGTCGCACCATGAATATTCATAGCAGAAAGGGGGGGGGGCTAATAATTTTAATTCGCAAAAAATTTTGGAGCTTATTGTATCAGGTTGAACCGAAAGTTCTGGCTTTAATTTTGAAAAATTCGTAACTGTCCCCTCCGTGAACGTAATTGCTTGCAAAAGAAATCATCAGAAAGAAAAAATCATCTAGTTTTCAACAGTGCCCTCCTTGCTGTTTGACAACGAGAGGCGCCAGAGATAAAAATCAGAAAATGAGATCCACTCAAACTGCCGATTTTCGGAAATAAATCGTTAAAAATCTGAAACGCTGCAGTCATTCCTGCCTTTTTTTTTGCATTTTTCACGAAAATCACAAATTCTGGTAAAGCTCGATCAGCACAATCTTGGCATCATTACAAAGAGCAGCTCACAAAACCACTAAGAAACATGCTCCCCACATTTTTCTGCAGCGTTTCAGATTTATAACGAGTTATTTTCGAAAATCGGGAGTTTGAGTGGTTCTCATTTCCTGATTTTTATCTCTGGAGCCTCTCGTTGTCAAACAGCATTGAGGATACTGTTACAAACTAGATGAAATTTTCTTTATAGCGATGCTTTTTATAAGCAGATACGTTCGCATAGGGAAAGGTTACGATTTTTTCAAAATCAAAGCGACAGAACTTTCGGTTCGACCTAGATCAAAAAGAATCTCGAAATTAGCAAATAAGCGGTAATTGACTGTAAATAAGTTGTATGAGGATTATAAATTGCCCTAGAAAAGTTTTTGCAGGTAATTCCATGTAATATAATTGGCCGCAACTGTTTAGCATGTTAAAGATCTAATAAAATGGTTTTTTTTGAATACTGAGGATCAGAATTTATGAAGATTTGAAGGGCAGAAAAGTACGAGAAGATCTGCTGGTTTTTTTACTTGCGAAATTGATCTAGTTTGATTTGTTGGAGTTTACAGAGGATGCCACAGTCAAATGACTCGTTACAATTAGGTGCGATGCACACTATTGGATAGAAACGGACAACTGTTACAAAATCTAATCCTCTATCTCCCATTACCATGAAGAAAGGGTGCATTCTCTACATGGTTAATTTACATGTTTCAAAGTTGCAGAATGTTTTTCCAATAGACAAAATAATCCAAGAAATCCTGCTTCTTTTACTATGATATTGTTGCGCAAAGACTGTTTTACTTCCTTTGAGTACTCACTATGCAGTCAAAAATGACTTTTTTCGGTCACAATTGAAATCAGGAGATCGATTAAAATTCAAAGTTCTTGGTTCCCTCCTAACACTATGCATAGAAATCCCTTTGTCACTTTGACTGAGTATCCGTTGTGTTTTAGATTCATCCTCAATTACAGCTACTTAGTATAAGTATATTCACAATAAGTTCAAATAATACACTTGTGAACACTTAACAAGTCTTAATTGAGTCTTTATTTCCTCTTAATTAAGATGAATAAAACACGTCTTTTCGAGAATTTGCAATCTAATGACCCCGTAAACGTCACATATCATATTTCCTCTTCAGCGAAATTTTTGAGAATGAGAGTGAGCTCAAAGACTGCAATGATACAGAAAATTTGCGTTAGAGTTACTACTGTTGCATCGCGAAAAAATCAAAAACTTAACACCAAAAAATCATGCTTATTGTGGGACTAGAGCAATAGCATTACTGGCTCAATATTTTTCTAGATACAGATTGAGATAAGAAATAGGTGTGTAGAACGACCAAATGAAAAAAAGAATACAGAAAATGCATAACCCACCGAAACCTGGACTGAAAGCCCCCGGTAGACAGCATAACCCTTAAGACTGTATCTGAGCAACTGTTCTTATGCTTGATTAAGAAATACTTACCATAAAAAATTATATAACCACATAGTAAAATCAAGTAGAGCATACTGTGACAAAGTAATCGTGTAACACGGATATCGAGTCGAGTAGGGCGATAGGCTGCGCCCTACTCATTTCATGCTCTTTCCATGCCTGTAATCCCGATACGATCTGATTCACACTCAATAAACTGCGAGGATTTGCAACCAGCCGAAAGCCGCTGAACGTCACTCTTCAACCCGGAGCTCGGTATGATGTTGTTTAGAGGTCAAAAATGAGTCAAAAACGGAAACAAGACGAGAAAGTTCTTCCGAATCACTCTGGTGGAATGTCAAGAAGTTGAAAACCTTGGATGATGCCTTCAATCTTCACTTTCAAACACGGATTTGCTCAATTTTTAACAAATCATTAGGAAGGGGATTGTGCGACTGCCACAAAAAAAACATACAAAACAATGTCATCTGCACAGAGAAGACGCAGATGCACGTGAAAACCTATGCACGACGGAAAAACGCGTCTCAACGCTCTCTTCACAAATGCCAATCTTCTCACGGATATATTTCATGTCAAACAATAGGTATGTGTTAAAGGGAACGAGAATTTCCTAGTTGTCTTGTTAGCGCAACCTTTTGGGTTACGGTTACTAGACGGTAAGAATTAATTGCCGCATTTGACTGTAACTTTGCATAGGGGCCGCTGTTATTGGGCTCACATAGTGCTACTATAAATGCCTTTCATGCTTTACTAGGTATTTTATTTTATACTAGGTATCCACGGTATAAATAGTGTATCTTACAAGATCCTGTATTTGTTTCTCCCAAAACCAGTGCATTTGGTCGTGGTTATGAGTCCCTTTAAGCAAGGGTCTTGCTTGATAAATAAATCTAAATATATTAGCTTGTAATATAAGTTACTAGCTGGCTTACCCGGCTCCGCCGTATCCGGACCAAACTTGGCACACATACACTTCGGGCCCCGGCGGGTGTCACAGTCCACTTTTCGTTATCGATCGATGTCGATTTTACCGATTTTTATCGATTTTTTTGCAGAGTTCACCTACAGGGCTAGGAGTTGGCACAGGGGGGGAAGTGAGCATGGGGATTCCGAATACAATATTAGTTTTCAGAATTATCGATTACTTTTATTGATTTTATCGATTTTTTTTTGTAAATTTTGACATGCGAGGCTGGGATTTTGCACAGGGGGTAATCGAGCATGCTGATTACGAACACAATATTAGTTTTCAGGATCGTCCATTACTTTTATCGATTTTATCGATTTTTTTGTAAAGTTTGACCTGCGGGGCTGGGAGTTTGCACAGGGGGGGGTAATCGAGCATGCAGATTACGAATACAATATTAGTTTTCAAGATCGTCCATTACTTTTATCGATAATCCCGAAAACCAATATTGTATTCGGAATCCCCATGCTCGATTACCCCCCTGTGCCAACTCCCAGCCCCGTAGCTCAAACTTTGCAAAAAAATCGATAAAATCGATATCGATCGATGACGAAAAGTAGCCTATGACACCCGCCGGGGCCCGTAGTGTATGTGTGCCAAGTTTGGTCCGGATCGGTTCAGAAATGGAATTTTCTATTCGGAACATACGTACAGACATACAGACAGACAGACAGACAGACAGACAGACAGACAAACAGACATTCAGCTTTATATATAAGATGTTACACTTTCTTCGTCGTTTTCCAAAAGCTCAGGAAATTTTGGCAGTCTCATATATGGCTTAGATGAGGAAGAGAAAGAGGACTATTCATTCATAACCTTCACCTTTTCAAACCCTATTTATTGTAAACATAACAACAACTATGTAAGTGCACTTCAGACTCCAGTTTTTTCTCTTTTTCTTAATATTTTCTCATGTTTCTATCTTACGTTATTAGATTGTGAAAGCGGAGTTAGTGCTAACGTAGAGGTAGTGCGGAAGTTTAAGCTCTTCAATGACGGGAGTGGGAAACGTGCCCAAAAGGATTCGAAAAAAAATTCAAAAAAAAAACAAAATTTATTGTTTTATGTGTGCCATGTGTATGCCGAAAAACTACATTCCGCAGGTAATCTGAAGATGAGAAAAAATCTGGAGGAGGAATGGGGATTTTTACGATTGAATGTAACAAGACTTATGTTACGACCTAATACAGGGTGTCCCAAAAGTAAGTACACACTTTTCAATCGTTAATATCTTTCTTCGCATTGTGTCTTTCGCAGTCATTTAAGTGTCATCCTGTAGAGAAGGCTTCAACTTAGATTTACAATATCGAGCGAACCACCGATCGCTCTTCGTTACTGTAGGATTACTGTAGGAACTTCGACAAGGATTTTAGGCCGTTGCAAGCCATATTCAGCCTCGGAACAAAACCAAACAAGCCAAAAACTCTTATACTATGGTAGTGGAAGCCGTTGATTTCGAATATGAAACTTCCACTTGACTCTGATGCTTCTTTTCTAAGTTATCCCAGGTAAACCGTAATAACCGAGTTACCAGCAAACTGTAATTACACTGTCAGAAAAGCTGAAAACACTCATAAAAAGTTGTGTAACGAAATCGGCGTGCGCGAAAACCCTGGTATCCGATTTTTCAGATTTTTTAAGAAAATTTTGTCGGATGGCATATCTCACAATGGTCCCACATGCTGGAAATTCTTATCGTAATCTACAGTAACCAAGAAAGATCGGCGATTCCATCGATACTGTAAATCTAAGTTGAAGCCTTCTCTACAAAATGGTACTTAAACGGCGGAAAAAGATCCTATGGGAAGAGAGATATTAACGATTGAAAAGTGTGTACTTACTTTTGGGACACCCTGTATAAATGCATTCCAGTCAGAATGGCCACTCCCCTTTCTTAAGGTTCAGAAGTTTTGCAGTACATGGAAATTTTACATTGCTTCACTATCAACTTCACTGGCTATCCCATTTTCAAAAGAGTAGCAGCTGCTGCAGAACTTTTTTGACTTGTTTTTTTTTCACCTTTTTCAACTTCCATAGAAGCGAACCAATTAGGAATAGTACACATTTTGGCGTATTAATTATAGATTAACAAGCAGTGAAGGGCGTGGAAGCTGCTAGTCTTATTAGACACATTTGCCAGGAAGCACTGTTTTGTTTCCACATCTTCACACTTTTTGCTTCATATTGTTCAAATTCATCTCGAGTTACTTCCTCTAGAAGTTGGTTAGGTGCATGGGAACGTTCCGCAGTGCTGCAAAACTGATGATTTAGTAAAAAGTTAGTAAAAAAAAGGCCGCTCGCTAGCTTTGGCATGTATGTATATGTAGATGGCTCATGTTACCATGTTAGATTACATCGCTTTGAAGCAAATTACATTATCGGGTATTAGCGTCTGTCAAAAGTAAATTGAATTTTCAATGGGATGCACTTAGAGGAGTTAATCAAGAGCTTTTCGCCATTTCAGCCTTCGTACGCCATAAAAATCAAAACCTGATTTCACCTTCATTCGGCAGAAAAACTGGTTTATGCTTTTTCTAGTATCAGAAATAAGAAATAGCTGTTGGTAATTTTGATGGAAGCATAGCACTTTTTCCGCAAAGCAGCAGAAAAATATTTTCTTTCATCTAATTTTGTGCTATCGAATAATTAAATGTTTTTCCTTTTTACTATTTTCAGATAAAAGCAGTTTCAACTGAATTAGAAATCTAGCCAGAGAGCACATTTTCACTCTTCAAGCAACGGAGCTAATCGAAACTCTACCTTTTGAATCCAAAATTTGTCAAAAGATCAAATATTCTGCAGATGCTAAATACATGCCAGTAAAAAATAATTTCATGGTCATACTCATCCTCATTCAATTTATATAAGACGATTCATAGGACGCAAAGATTGCGGACGTATCGGCGTCTCTTTGATCGAGCTCTCTTTCGTTTCTCTTACCGTCTGCTTTCTCTCCTATGCGCGAACTATCTCGGCCGGACGCAGCGGTGCCCAGTCTTTGCGTGTTATGAATCGTGTATATAACAGCAAGCTCGTTTTTCTTCATTTTGACCAGCTAAATTTTTTTTACGTAGTCCCTTCAAATTTCTAAAAATCAACATATAAAGTAACGAATGCAAAGTGTCTGTCATAATACAGTACTCTATCATACTCTATCACTGGTACAAAATTTCGAAAATATTGAGTAGAATAAAAGTCTGAGGCTGTAAGTAAGAAACACCGTTCGACTTGTCAACACCGTATTTTGAGGACCTGAATTCCCTCCTAGGAAAAAAGACTTGGTCCTTGCAATCCGGTCTCGTGAAATACTCACAAGACTAGCTCTCGACAGCAACTTGTCCCTAGCCGCATGTGTTTTCGCTCCATTTCTGCTGTAAAGAGAGCAATGAAGCATAAATTGCTTCAGATGTATTTTACTTGAGCACTGCTTGGCACCGCGTTTCCGTCATCACGAATACTCGATTTTCTTATCATCAACAGCAACAATATCCCGACATTGGCAACCGAGAATTTCCTTGAATGTGTTCCTCGTCGCGTCCTTAATTCCCTCATCCATCGTTCGTGTTTACGCAGTAGCGTGTATTTCAAGGCAGAAGTGGTATGACAAGTGGGCAGAAATTATACTTTCTTTCGAGTACTGGCGGGAAGTAAAAGGGCAGAAAAACAGAGCTTCTCGTAAGTTATTCAAAGAGTAATCTACTTTTCGCGCCAACACTTTGTATTCGATTATTCGCATATAGATGTTTTCAATCGCGAATAAATGGCATGTATGTACTGCTCCTTCGGAAGCTTATTAAGTCGCCGTTCAGCCGGACAATGCAACAAAAGAAGAGCGAAGCAGGGCCACTCAAAAGCCAATTGAGTTATCGACTTTACCAGTCGAGCCCAAATCTGATATTGCCCAGTAGAGAACGCTGTCCAAAACATCAGCCAAGCGTGTTGCGAGGCCCTCTCGAAAATCTCTCCAAATTCCAATTTATTACTTTCAAGAAAAAGTTGGTATTAGGTCGCAACCTGTGAACGTCCCTGTTTCTTGGGCAAACTTCTAGTTCGGACCCTCTGCAAGACTCCTGCGTATGGAGTGAATTTCTGGATTTTACAAA